CCCTCCTGAGGGGAAAGGGGGGGGATGCCCCCTCCTGAGGGGAAAGGGGGGGAGTGTCCCCTCCAGAGGGAAAGATGGGGGGGGAATATTCCTGTTGGGAGACCTGGGGGCTGGCTGATGGAGAGACGTTAAACCTGAAAGGGAGGGTGAGTGTGTAAAAGGGAGCCCTGCACATCGTGTAGCACCAGCTGCTCACGATAAACAAAATCCGTTGTTTTGATTATTTTTATTTTTTTTTTAATTGTATAAAATGTCGAGTGAAATTCTTGACTGTGAGGGTCAAGGTTGCCCAGAGAAGCTGTGGATGCCCCATGTAAGGGGTTCAAGGGGGGCTGGATGGGGCTTGGAGCAACCTGGTCTGGTGGGAGGTGTCCCTGCCCAGGGCAGGGGGTTGGAGCTGGATGATCTTTGAGGTCCCTTCCAACCCAGACCATTCTATGATTTTTTTTTAGCCGTGGTTGCTCAGTTTTCAACAGGTAGGGGTTAAGACAATCTCCAGACAGACATCTTTCAGATGAACGGAACAGATCATCTCATCAGTGGTTGTTTTCCTGATCTAGGCAGCGTGCACTGCCAAAAGGTGTGTGCTTTGAAAATGAGATAACTGTACAAGGCAGTTGCATAAAATCCCCGCGGAAGCAAGCGCTCCACTTCTAAGCCATGAATCAACCTGATGAGGTCACCGCTATGTACCTTGGATGCACCGATCTTCCTGTGGTTAACCTGGCGCTGAGTCCTGGTTTTGCTGGGACTATAGGAAACACACGTTGAAAGTGCACTTAGGTTTCTTTTTGTTAAGCTTTGGAAACAACACGAGACTGAAATGTGTTGTGCTATAATTGCAGGAGTAGCTTTGGAGATCCCAACTAGCAACAACTGATTTGCTGGCAGGAGTTGGGCACTCAGCTTTTCTGGAAGTTTTTTCTGCATGAACAGCTTGAGGTCCCAGTCAACAGGCAAAATCATTGAGTAGTCTGATTACATTGACTTAGACTTTAAAAAAGCCCAAAATCTACAGGTTTTTTTTTTCACATTAAGCTGTAGGCAAGTCGAGCCACCAACACCTTTTGCATGTGCCATAATGTAATGACTTGCTATTACATGACTGCTTTGTAATGATTATAAATTTACTGATGACACCTTCTGGGATGCAGTGAATTTTTATCCTAAGTTATAAGAGTTTATTAGTAACAACTTAATATGTATAACTTCCTTTTAAATGAAAGTCATAATTTGTATTGGCTCAGGTGGAGGCAAACTACTTACTTATCAAGTAGTAACTACTTATCAAGTTGAAAGTAATAGCTGGGAAAGAGTAACATGTCGCTTACTGGAGGGAGGCAGTGAAATTGTATGAATAGGTGTCACTGTTGGTGCAGAAAACCTCTGAGGTAAAGGAGGAAGGGAAATATCTTAATTGGGAATTCAACACGTGCAGAATGACAGCATTTTGCTGGCTAAACGCTGTGATTAGTGGAGAAAGTCTGAGTTGTGTTGCTGATTCTGTGGTGGATTCCTGTGAGCATTAATGCCTGTAGGTGTTAACATCCTCAGTTATTCTGGGTTCTTAAGGAGAGTGATCCCCATGAAATGGCAGCGTGGTAGCCAGGACACTTGCATTGTCTTGACCCTTCTGGTAGAGAAGTATGAGGCCTGGCTGATGTAGCCACAGTACAGTGTGTGTGTGGTGGGGGTGGCTGATGTAGCCACAGTACAGTGTGTGTGGGGTGGTGTATTTTTGATGGGGTTTGGGGTTTTTTTGTTTATTGTGAATTCAGTTATACTGGCAAAACTGCAGTCTTTTGGCAGTAGGTTGGTGGTGGTGGAGGGTGTGATGGTTACTGTTGCACCAATACAAACTGCAGCATTACCATTGTACTTGCATATGCATTAGAGGTGGTTTAAAGGGGTTCTAGCATTTGAATTTCCTCGATTCCATGGTGAAAAGCGTTGTGGCTAGTGAGATCCTTTATGTGTGAGTACAGCCAAGGTTCTTATTTCTCTTTCATGCTGTCTATCAGATCTGATGCCTTCATTTATCCGCCACGGTCCAACCATTCCAAGACGAACTGATATTTGTCCTCCCGACACTACTTCTTCTGCGTATGCTTCTGGGGGAGATGGAATTGTTTCGAGAAACCAGAGTTTCCTTCGAACTCCGGTGCAGAGACCACCTCATGAAATAATGAGACGTGAGAGCAACAGACTGTCCGCGCCTTCCTATCTTGCGAGAAGTTTGGCTGATGTCCCTAGAGAATATGGCTCTTCCTCCCAGTCCTTTTTAACAGAAGCCAATTCTGTTTTGGAAAACGGAGACGCTGGTGCCCGATGTTATTATTATGATCATTTTTATGATGCCCAGAGGAGACGGCCGTTAAATGATCGCGTACATGAGGACTACAGGTATTATGAACACAACAGCGATCTTTTCCAGAGGATGCCACAGAATCACGGGAGGCACACTTCAGGTAAGTATTGATTAATTGCTGTCTTTTTAAAATACATTTATTATAAGATTTTCAGTGCAGAGATATATCTGGACCATCAAGGTCATGTTTTTAGGACTTATGCTGTGTAAGACAGTAGGTTTATTTAATGACACTTCTGTGATCTGAGCACACTATGTGCTCACATTTCTTAGTTAAAAATTTGATTACATATATCCAGAAAAGAGAAAAATATACTCAAGCCATGATTTATTTATTAAGTAATGGGGTAAGGTTGAGCAAGTTGTTTGGTTTTTTTTTAATGCCAAACATATCTGCAACTCCTCATAACAAAGTTGATTCAGTTGCTAACTGGCAAGGAATTTTATTCACTAGGGAACATCTACTATTTTAATGATGCAGAGAATAACCAACAGCTCTAAATTATAGCATTGCTGTCTTATTATATTTTAACTATCATTGTGTTGTTATTTAATGTTATTGTGTTAATTTAACCTCAGTCATTAAAATCATTTTTTTATAAATAGTCAAAGGGAGGAATGACTGCTTTGTGTAATTAGCAAATTGACATATAGTTAGTGCTGAAATTGACTTCCTAGTTCTTGATATTTATTTATTTTTCTTTTAGCTTGTAGTTTTGTTTGTAAATATGCCTGCTTCCCCCTCACATTCATTGGAACTTGTCTTTGTTTTCTAACAGAAGATAAGCATAAGAAAGAAGAATTCATTAAATATTACTTTATTAAATACTTGTCATGACACTGAAGGGTAGTTCTTTGGTGCACTGTGCTGCTATGAATCTGTTGGTGGAATAAAAAGTCTGGGGTTACGATATTGCCTGTAGAAAGGTGACCCTAAAAGTAGTAAATTTGGCTGTCTTTGGGCACTCTATATACTACGGAAATTATGTTCAAGGAAGAGTTTGAAACAAACATTTAATAGAAATGTTCAAACCTGTAAATCGTGTACCTTCAATGTGAAAGATGATGTTAGTTCATCATTGCATTTAAGCTGTAAACAAAGTAGTAAATAGACTCTAGGAAAATAAATGTTCTGTCTAGAAAAATAAATCTGCTAGGAGGTCTGTCAACATTGAGGGCTGCTGACTTTGAGTGTGGAAGTCTAACCTGACAATGCTCTGTGGGTTTTTTTACTACAGAAACATTTCAATGAATAGTGACAAAGGAGTAATGCCAGAGCTCCTGCTCTCAGCCAGTAAATTCTGAAATACTGAGGTTTAAGACTTGCTACTTTAATCCTCGTTTATTTTGCTAAATGCTAATACGTTGCCCAGAGAAGCTGTGGCTGCCCCATCCCTGGAGGGGTTCAAGGCCAGGTTGGAGGGGGCTTGGAGCAACCTGGGCTGGTGGGAGGTGTCCCTGCCCATTAGGTGGAACTAAATGATCTTTGAGGTCCCTTCCAACCCAAACCATTCTGTGTTTCTATGGTCTGATCTACCTAGATTTTGCATGAAATCCCTCCAGCTCTGTCAGTTGGTGTTCAGTCAGCAGTCTTTAAACATTTACCTGGTCCCGATAACGAGCACCTCTTAGTGTTTGCTGGGATATTGTAGGGAGGAAAGGCAGGAGGGGAGGTTTTCATAAATGAATCCATCAATTTAACATTCAAAATTACTACAATCTATGTGTGCTGAGGAAGACTTCAAAAAATGGTACCGCTGCTGTGCAGAGTTGAAACAATGTGAAGTGGAAATGGAGCTCTAGCTATTAGTTTGAGAGTGGAATTTAATTTAGGACATTTTTAAAACAAGCTAAAAGTAGAGCTTTACAGCTATATTTTTCTCAGTTGTAGCAACATGGATTTCTTCCTTAAAAGACCTTTATTTCCCCATTTGTCTACATGCCCCCTTAGCCACTGGAAATCACGAAGGAGCTCCTGATGTTTGTTTGGTCTTTGTCATTCCCTCTCATATTTTTACATGTAATAATTTAATAAAATTCTACACGTATCTTGTAACAGGTGAGTATTTAATCTCACACGTTTGTCAGGAGAGACAAGAAAAGATGAGCCTTTTGCCTGCAAAAATGTTTCTCTTTTCCTCTATTTTTTTTCTTTCATCTCAGCATGGAATATGAACTGTTAAATTCCTTTTTCAGTTTCATTGCAGTAAGAATATTGACCTATGTCCTTAACTTTTGTACATAGTTTCAAGAATTGCTGTTACTTTTTATCGGTAAAAGAGTTATGTGGTCAAAAGTGAGAAAATTTTAGTTTGTTTTTTTTTTTTTTTACTTCTTTCATCTCACCATTAAGCTTCTTTTTATTTGAACCATCCGTTGTCTTCAAACCTCCAGTGTTTTCCTTGAGCTACACTAATATTTCTGTAATTTCTGGTTCCCTTTTTTTTCCTCGTGTTTCTGGAATACTGAGGCAGGCCTTTTACTTTCATTGTCTTTGTGTAAATTATTCTCCTTACGCATCCCCATTGTCATGTCACGTTGTTTCCCCTAATCAAAATTCTTCAGCAAGATGACTGATGACAAAATTGCCCAGTACTTAGAGTTCTGATGTAGAAGTCTGTTTATTAGCTAGAATCTGTAAATGCTGCCTTCAACCCTCTTCCTCCTCTCCCACCCTCCCCTCAGTGAAGGTCCCCTCAGTGGGTTCAGTTCTGGTTTGGGTTGATTGCCACAGAAATGTTCCCTGATGAACACAAGTTGTACTTGCTGTCGCTGAGCGATATTTCATTTAGTGGTGGTTACAACTGAGATGACTTTTGAGAAGCAGGAGTCTGGAAGTGCAGAGGTGCATGGGAATTTCAGCTCTCATTCAAAATAAAGGTTCTCCTCTTTATAATTTTGAGATAAGTTGAAAACATACGTTCCTACTGAGATCTTCATACTCCAAGTGTTTCAGAAAGTCCGTGATTTTTCAACAGCAGATGTTGACAGCATTGATATGTTCTTCCATAGGCATTTCTCCTTGAAGTCATGTTTCCTTTCTCAGTATGATTCAGTTCTCCCATGTCCTTGCTTTTTTTAATTTTCATTATATTTGCTTTTAATTAGCAATCTAGTGCTGCTGGTTTTCCTGAAAAATGTCTTCGGTTGAGATATTTCCTAGTTTTGTATATTTAGCTGCCTCTCTGGCATTTCTTCAAAGTTTGTTTTTTCCTTTGTGTCCATTTCAAACTTAATTCTAAGAGACTTTACCTGTCTTTCCTCGCCATCTCTTTCCTCTCTTCTAGGTTAAAGGTTTGGGGAGGTCTGTGGTTGAAGTTATATCTACAAGTATAGATTGGAACTAACTTGTAACCAAGACCTCAGAGTTATTTGTACCCGTTTGAGCGGTAAGCTAAAAAATTCTTATGTGTATATCAAAATTGCTGAGATTAAAATCGCAGTGTAAAGGGACTTTCTGCTGGTGGATTGTAAGCGGTTGACTGTGATGTCAGAGGAGAAAAATGATTAATCCTGTGAACAGAGAATCCAGTGCACTTCAGTGAAAGCAGGTTCATCTCGGGTCTAAATTGTACCCCTTAAAAATTGCACACCTGTATTCAGGTTTAATATAAGAGCAAAGTAAAGAAACACAAATTATTAAATGAAATCTACTTAGAGCTAAAATATCAGCGCTTTTCTTTCCAGGTGTGTACAGTTCACTTGTCTTTTAAACAAATGGCAATTCCTGCCCTTTTCTTCTTTTGTGCTGATTTTGCAGTAATTTCTTTGTAGCGGATTTTTTCGAAGCTGTCAAAGTACTTCCTGCCATTTCCTATTTGTGAATTTATGCTTTTTTGGAACGCCCCATTCCCTCTGATAAACGAGGCACTTGTGCTCAGGAAGTACCTTCAGACGCTTCGGAATGGATTAGGGAGGCCTAGAACCTGCAGACCTATTCAAACAGGATAGTTACTGGACCTTCTTTTTGCTACTTTATTCTTACTTACAATTCATTCATCTTCTCTTCCTGTTCTCCATCCTGGTTTGAGGAGGGGAAGGGAGAGGATTTTGGCATCCAGAGGTAACGGGGAAAAGGCTCTTAAGACAATCCACCTAATTAAGGACAAATACGAAGGGCTTCTGCTTGTCTAGATTTGTTCTTCAACACTTAGAAATTTGGTTGAAGCTGGTTGAGAAGTTTGGTTGAGTTGTTTCAACTAGTCTGGTTTTGCTTGTCCTGTGGTAGGGATTATATCCACCAGCAAGAGGAAAATCACGGGTTTTACCCTAGGTGTTTTGATAAAAATGGTTTGAGTTGTAAGTTTGGCTTTTTTGCTGTAGATATTTTGCCTTGTGGTATTTAAATGTGGTACCAGCCCGTGATTCAGGGAGTATCCTTGGTGTGTGCAGTAAAATCTCTAGTAAAATCCTGTATGAAGCCATGAAAATGCTTTAGGGCTAAGCCCTTACCTGAAATTTAAACACAGAAGTGTGTTGTGCTTTGGCAATATGACCCAGAAAAGGATAGTGCTCACAGTAGCTGATTTTAGGCTGTCCTGTAACTTTCTTCTTTGGTTTATACTTTAGAAAAGATCCCACACGAATTTACTCTTCCAAGTGATGTTCAGTTTTATTATTGGTAATTACAGATGTAAATATATGAAGGTCAATTTTCACCTTCTCTTACTGTTCAAAATCATAGCAGGAGCTATTTCTCTCACATGTGTGTCCACTCTCTTGAAGGAAGTGTCTGCTGAGTTTTGTAAGAAAAACCAATATATAATTTCTTTTCATCTCTAGTAACTTCAGTTATATAAAGAAATGTCTAAATTGTGCTAATTGCTGACTTGAATGTTGTAGTGGGTTGATAGTTGTAAGACACTATGGATATTACCTGATGTCTTAAAACTTCCAGCACACGGAATAGTTCAGTGTGAGCTCTGATTTTCAGGGGGAAAACGCACATTGAGACTATACCCGATGGCCTATAACCACCTCTTTATAAATCTGGCCCTTGATTTCATAATTAGAGCTTGTTAATTGTAGATGCTTGGAACACTGTTCAAAACTTCATACAGCTCTGGGAGTTTATCTGAACAGTATGGCTCTGCTTCTTCATATATGAAGTCAAAATGGCACAAGGAATGTATAATGTATTTGTGATCTAATTATTTTTGTTCTTTGCATCTTAAAAATAAAAAAAATATAAGCTGGGATTGGGAGAAACCATGTAGCTAGAATTTAATGACTGTGTGAACACAGAACTGCTGGCGTTGCCTTTCCATTGGGTGCAGCGTTGGTTTTTATTCTGCTTTCTCAGTGATCTCTCTGTGTAATCAGGTTTGGATTTTCCTCCTTTCCTGAGTCCATCTCCCAGATTTCTCAGGCTTTTGTACGAAGGGATGTTGTGTCAAGAGAACCTCTCGTGCTGAGGATGCCTTGTGCAACTTTTAATACCAGCTTCCAAATGTTAGAAATAATTAACCTTTACCCCAGAGAATGAATATATATCTCTTTGCTGCTGGAAATCATGCTGGAATTTAAGTAGGAGGAACTGTAACAAAAATACGGACGTGTGCTGGTTTTAACAGTAAACAGAAAAAAATGTTTAGGCCTTTGTGCAAGTTGTTTCCCCCAGTCACGTTTGTGTGTTGAGATCTGGTAGTGGTGATTTAATAGTCACTGTTTATACACTGTTGTAATGTGAAATTACAACACAGTCGCCCCGTTTATTGGAGAAAATACGGAATTTGTTTATCCAAAGCGCAGTATTTTCAAGAAGCTGAAATGTTTGTATTTTGTCAGTGGAATGAAAACAAAACCAGTGACATAACTGTAGCCAGGGTCTGAAATAGTTTCCCTGCCCCAGTACTGCTAAAGGTCAGGAAGCCTCCAGGATGTTTCTTCTCACTGGAAATAAAGTTCTAGGTTGCTTCATCGTAAGGAGAGGTGGGAGATCTCACATGAACACAACCATCAGCTTTCTTTTATAACTCTAACAAATAGGTAAGTATCATAAGGAGAGGAAATACTTTAAGGCCAAATAGTTCAGAACATGACACGGCCAGAAAGAGATTTGTAGAGGAGCAGAAATGTTTTAAAGAACAGTACTCAGGGGGAAGTTAGTGAGATTACTTTTTTATTTATTTAATTGTTTTGTCTTTATTCTGTTGATTTGGAGCCTTCCCATTACTTTATTGTTGATGAGTGCTGCCTTGTATTCGAATGAGAGCCCATCCAGTTCTCAGTCTATGTCATTTTGTATGTAAACATGCTTAAAATAGATGACACCCCATGGCTAGTGTGCTGTATTCTCTGTGTACTATTGAAAAGGACTTTTGGCTTTGTCAGCAGAGTATGAAATTCCCTGAGAAATACAACAGTTTTGCTGCTACTCCAGTATTCCAGTATCTTGTTGAGTTAACGACCACACCTTAAACCTCTTTTTTTATAGTATGCTTTACATGAGAGAGACTCTGCCTTTCCCTTCCATTCTCTCAAAAAATAATGACACAAAAATGTTATTTCTGAAAAGTAGAAGGAAAGGGGTGTATTCCTCAGTCACAGTGCTTGTGATGGAGTCTCTTTCTGACTTAAGAAGGTGGAAAAAGTGACTCCCATTCCCTTTCTTCTGGCTTTGGGAAATAGTCACATGCAAACTCTTAGTGAATACACTGATTGAAGAGATGAGGGTGAAGAGATAACAGGAATTTCTTTAAAGCTAGGGACTGTTTAACTGTAGAGTGGTGGGTAACTGAAGGGAGCTGCTTAAAAGGATTTTAAAAAGAGAATTGAATTTGGGCCAGCATGGCCAGTGGGTCGTAGGCTTCCAAGGAATGGAAACAGACCTGCAAAAGTCTTGATTATGTCACTTTTAGTTTGTGGTTGGGCTTTTTTGGGTTGGGGTGTGGTGGTGGGTTTTTTTTGTTTTCTGTTGTTGTTATTATTATGGCTTTTATTTCAACTAGCTTCCTAATTATCCATACTATATGGAGGGAAAGAAAAGATGAAATGGAAATTGTGTTTCTTCAGTACATCACTCAGCATCCAACATGCTAATTTTGAAAATGTAAAAACTCTATTCTTGGTTTACCTGGTCCTGTTACTGTTCTTGTCTGGTTCATCTGAAAAACTTTGTTGGTATTCAGTAATTTTTCTAGATATAATTTCTGACTGTAACTAGGAAAAGAAATAGCTCTGGTTTTTGGTAGATAGATAGTTTTGATGCAGCTGTAATAGCATATTAACAGAAACTGTCACGTATGTAAAGCTTTAACGTTTGTAATCGTACTTAGCTCTCTCTGCTCAGCAAATTGAGACAGTAACAGCTTCATCCCTGTTTGTATGCTAATATATGTCTCTAATTGAAAAAGCAAGGATGCTTTAATTGTCTCTGAACAAAGCTGCCTAGTGAATGTGGAGTTGGAGGAGAGCGAGACTCCAAGGGAATAGCTGTTTTGACGTGATCGTGCTTTTTTATTGCTCAGAGCTCATAGAGTGCCTGGGTGGGGGGAGTTGACTTTGTACATACTGTTGGGTTTGGTATTACCAGTTTAGCTAAACATTGCTTTCCCTTTGTTTTTTTTTTTGGGTTTTTTTTTTTTTTAGGAATCGGTAGAGTTGCTGCTACATCTCTAGGAAACTTAACAAATCATAGTTCTGAAGATTTACCTCTTCCTGCGGGCTGGTCGGTGGACTGGACTATCAGAGGGAGGAAGTACTATATAGATCACAACACCAACACTACTCACTGGAGCCATCCACTCGAGCGCGAGGGGCTGCCTCCGGGCTGGGAGAGAGTGGAGTCAGCAGAATTTGGAGTGTATTACGTAGATCACATCAATAAAAGAGCTCAATATAAACATCCTCGCGCTCCCAGGTAAGACATCCGCCTTCTCTTTTGTAATTGTGGTTTTTTTCCTTAATCCAGTTAAGAAAGTGGAACTGGTCTCAGAACAGGGAAAAACCTTTTTATTTTCAGAAGTAAGCTTTACTGGTTCTTGACTAAGATTTTTTAGAAGAAGTTGTAATTGTTAGGTTTTTGTCTTTTTTTGTCTCCTCTGTTACTATCTTAAGTTTAGAAACAGGATATTGTTCCTAACTCACTAAAACAAAGCAGCTATTCTCTTCAGCTGGTGGTAAAAGAAAGTTGCAGAGAACAGAAATGAATAGTGGATCGAAAAGAAACTCGATCTGATGGATGTTCCAGGAGGCTGTCTGAACGAATAGCACATTTCATCTGAAACATTAATTAAGCCTTGTCTAGAATGAAAATCAGTATTTTAGCTCCTCGTAATTTAAAGGTAAAATAAAGTTAGTGTACACCAAATCTACCTGTTAATTTCTGATACTCTATTTTGCTGAGAAAATATTTTGATGTGTGGCACAAAAGATAAACCTATGGGGATGTCCTTGGCTATAAACGGCATAACTTATGAGCTGCTGCCTGAATATATTTGTTTTAACATATAAAATGGTGTGTTACTTGTCTGAATCGATACGTGCCTGAATCAATACTTGCCTTTTTAATCTTTTAAAAGCAGATATCCCTTCTTGTTGTGCTGTGGTATGCAGGTAGCAGGCACTGGGTGAATAGGTGGTTTTTACAGTGTGGTAACAGCAGCGACGCTTCGGGTTGTGATTGAAGCACAAAAACAGCAGCAGAAAGTTGTTTTCAGTACAGACCTGCTGAGGCAACGCTCCGTGTGGGGTTGCATCATCAGCCTTTGTGTTTATTAGCGTGAACATTTTAATGGTATCAGTATGTCTTAAGTCCTTGCTTGGAGGTTATGGACTCTTGTCTTCCTTTGTGCAGCGTTCCCCGTTACGACCAGCCTCCCCCCGTGAGTTACCAGCCGCAAGCAGCCGAGCGGAGCCAGCCCCTCCTCGTCCCTGCAAACCCCTACCACACGGCAGAGATTCCCGACTGGCTGCAGGTCTATGCCAGGGCTCCTGTAAAGTGAGATTTGTTTTATTTTGGTTTTTTTTTCCTTCTGCATTTCACACTCTGCATGCCTGGCTTATAAGGAAACCAAATTAATGTGCTTTCTATGAGGCATTACTTAAAATCATCACAATACTTCTTGCAGCTCACATGACTTGCAGAATATTTGAGAGTTGGGGATGTGATTTACTTCCAGTGTGTTTGTGAGAACGGTACAGCGTGGCTTATAAAATATGTGAAATATTTTTAGGGTGGTAACTTCTTAATCTTACTCCTTTTCAAAAAAGACATACGAATTCTCTTTCACTAATTAAGAATTTTGAGTACAGAATGAAAACTATGTTCAAGAACTTTAAAAAAAAAAAACAACACCCCGAAGTGGTAGTGAAAAGTCATTTTTTTTCAAAGAAAACAATGCTCTAGGAACAGGCAGTCTCCTCCAAGGAAAGATTTGAGTCAGCGTAATGAAACAAATTACATTTTCTAATGGGTACAGCTCTGTGGAAGAGTATCACTAAATAGAAAAGCAATAAAAAAAACCCCAGATATGTTTTAATAATTATGAAATCAGGTACTTTTTCATAATTTCATAATGACAATATGGAGAAACTCAGTTTTACAGCAATGAGCAGGTCAGGCTGTAGTTGCAAATTCAGGCTGTGTATGATGTCCGGTGACTTCCAGCTAAAAAAATCCTCTTTTTTTTTTAGCTGCTTCTAGTAACTATGATTTGAATGGGTTTTCTTACTTCTTGTGGCTACTGGGCTTGCCAGCAGCCCATAAAGATTTAAATTGGCCCAAATTCCACCAATACTCTTATGCACCAGGGACACACCGAGTTCCTGTAACCTATGGGAGGGCTTCTTTCCTAGAAATACTTCTAGATTTTGGCTGCAGCTGGATTTTCTTTATTTAGGTCTTTGGCACATCCGGACAATGTAGTTTTAAATATTTTGGGCTGTGTTGCATGGACTCCTGTTGGTATTTCTCTTGAAACTTGAGAAACAAATATAAGACTTAAACAATTTAAGATTACCAGGAATTATTTTAGATCTAGGAGGCTGAGACAAATTTAAAAAAAATACAGCAGAAAACTCCCAATATTTAATTCATTCAAGCTGTTTGAATAGAATTTACATTGGTCAGAGGAATCAAAAATTGTGTATTTCCCGCTATCCTTTTAGCCCTCTAATTCTCAGACACTTCTGTGAAGAAGTAAATGGTTGTTTACATCCAGTAATACTTGTGAATTCTTCAGTAGCATTGTCCAAAAGCTGAGGATGAGAACTCTGTGTGTGTGTATATATATATCTCTCTCTCTACACTGTGTTCTGGGGCAAAAATGAAGTGTGTGTGTGTGTGTATATGTATATATATCTCTCTCTGTGTTCTGGGGCAAAAATGAACGGTTGTTTACATCCAGTAATACTTGTGAATTCTTCAGTAGCATTGTCCAAAAGCTGAGGATGAGAACTCTGTGTGTGTGTATATATATATCTCTCTCTCTACACTGTGTTCTGGGGCAAAAATGAAGATAAGTGGGCAAAATGCTTTCATAGTAATAGTAAAGAAATACCTTTTGCAATGAGGTATTTTAAATTTATGGTAAAAATCGTTTGGTGATCAGTTTTGCACTGAAATCATTGTGGTATATTTCTTTACAGTTTGTTACTTACACCTGTAAGTTTGATTTGGCTGATAAAAGGCGGGTGGCTTTTGTTGAGAAAAGTAGGTAATGAGAGCAAAAATAGATAACGTTAGCGCTTGTTTCTACAAGTTTCTCCAAAGGATAAGAATTCTGGCCACTGGAAAAGTCTGATGGAGAGTTCGGTAGGTGTTATCCGTAATGCTTCCCTGTTTTGGTGACAAATGTTCAAACCATTAAGATAAGAAAGAAGATATTTGGCTCACTAGGCAGAGGAGAGGCTTCGATGTCCAGCTGTAACTGTGAGGCAACGATTTTCAGTATCAAGGTGGTTTTGATACCTGGAAGCATCCTTTCCCCCTCTCTCCTGCCATCTCTTGAGGTCTGTTTTGAGATCGTAAGTGCAGCTATGGGAATCTTAGCACTGGAATTGAGACTCTGGCTTGTGTTTAACCCTTTGCTAGACTCTTCAATGGATTGTTTCTTCAAAACCAGGATGTTTTTCCACCTCCCAGGTTCCGTAGCCCAGTCTGGTGGGGGTTCCTGCACCGCGCCAGTCTGCGTGTGTGGGACTTGGGGGGTGAGCAGACCAAAAACCCCTCCCTCGTATGAGAGGTCGTGGTTTGGATTCTTTCTCCACCTCTTTTGGAGGAAGGATTTGAACCCAGGACTTTCTTTTCTCCAGGCCTAAGCAATGGAGGCTGAGGGGAGACCTCATCACTCTCTACAACTACTTGAAAGGACACTGTAGAGAGGTTGGTGCTGGTCTCTTCTCACAGGTAATTAACGACAAAACAAGAGGGAACAGCTTCAAGCTCCAACAGGGTGGGTTTAGACTAAACATTAGGAAGGAATTTTTCACCGAAAGAGTGTTTAAGGGACGTTTAGATGGGGTACTGAGGCATGTGGTGTAGGGGAGGACTTTGTAGAGTAGATGGTTGGACTCGATGATCCCAAGGGTCTCTTCCAACCTGAATGATTCTATGATTCTATAATTTTTTGAATAGGCTGTAAATATTCAGGGCCTCTTGTGTAGGAGGTGTCCTGTTTTGTATATTAAATACTTGTTATCTCTGGGAAAAGCACTGGCACCGGGGTTTTCTGGCCGTGTGTTCTGTCAGGAAAGCTCCTGCTTTCTCACCTGGGAGGGAAGGCTTTGTGCTCTGTGGGAATTTTGTACTTTTGAGGCTTTCTTCCCTCAATTTCTGGCTCTGGGACTAGTTGTCTTTCTGAAAAATGCCTGAGGAGTTTAGGTCAGGTTCTCTGTGCCCTGTTCTGCTCAGCATCCATGTGATGAGCATTCCTTGACCTACTGTCTTTGGATTTGACTGATCCCTTTGCTATTGAAGCACTGCTGGTGGCTCTATCTTTAATTAGACTTCTTCCCTCATTTAACACTCCTCTTGGCCAGTGAAGTGAAACCCTCCTATTGCAGAGCAATCCCAGAATGCTATGGGGTTGGAAGGGACCTCTGGAGATTATCTAGGCCAACCCCCTGTCCACCCAGAGCAGGTCCCACAGGAACGTGTCCAGGTGGGGTTTGAATGTCTCCAGAGAAGGAGACTCCACCACCTCCCTGGGCAGCCTCTGCCAGGGCTCTGCCACCCTCAAAGTGAAGAAGTTCCTCCTTATGTTTAGATGGAACTTCTTACATTCAAGTTTGTGCCCATTTCCTCTTGTCCTGTCCCTGTCCTGCGGCAACTGATTTGGGTGGGAAAGGAGCAGAGATGGGAAGGAGTTGTTCATTTAAACTCACTAATTGAGTGCTTTCAAAGATCGTTGTTCTTGGCAAACCTTCCAGAGCAGGACCATGTCCTCTGCCTCTCCTCGGAGTTTGATCTCCTGATTGACAAACAGCTGCAACCTGGGTTTTCTTGCTTTGGGGGAAAAGGGATTTTAGCAGTGCAGCCCCATCAAGACTCGGGATAACTTTAATAGAGAAGCTGCTATTGAGAGAATTTATAGAAACAGTGGTTGTTTCAGTTCTTAAAATTCCTCAGAAGCATCTTTGGTTGTCATCCACCTGTCTTGATGCTTCTCTGATGCATACAGCCTTCTGAATATATCTTTTCAATATGTAATTTAGTTAATTTCCATAAATTCACTGATATTTGGGCTTCAGCCTCTACTCAAGTGACTCTTATTTTCTCCTGTAATTCATTTGGATCAAATAACTCTGTTTATTCCATGAGTTTCTTCTATTCTCTTAATAACTGTAGTGGTCACCTGGCTATTTCTGAGTGAAGAGAATGAGACTGGAAAGGAATGGTGTGTGTTTAGAGCAGTGGGAAAAACCAGGCAATAAGGGGTTCTGCAGTGATGATGGAAGTACATCCAGGCTTGCTTTTATCAAAGTAAAGCGTGTCCGTTCTGAACCTGGCCGGTCTCTCCAGAGCTCCTGTCACCCTGCCAGAGGTCTCCTGTCATCACACCGAGGTGGAAAGAGGCCATCAAAGAGACCGGCCTGTTTATTTTAAGCGTCGGTATCTCTGACTCTCTGAAGTCATTGACCATTTCATTTCAGCCTGTGGTGGGGGTAGGTCTGCACCATGGGCTCCTGGAGGAACATCCTGATGGTGGTGTCTCCTGCTTGAGGAACATCAACACACCACGAGGTGTGGTGGTAGCGCTGGACCATGGGCCAGGGACCTTTCGTCCTATCTCTGTAGAATCACCATGATTTTGGTGAAAAGCTTTTGTTAGAAATGCTGGTTCCCCTACTTACGGGCAAAAAAAAGAGGTCTGCTAAAAAAAGTAATGAAGAAAAATGCTTGGTTTCTGGGAGTAGTTTGTGAGGCTTCAATATAAAGGTAAATACTGTGGACATTGTTAAATTTGGGAAACGTTGAACCTTGTGTTTGGGCTAAAAGGTTATCAGCACTTGTTTTGAAGAATTTGTGGCATGAAGGGGAGTCGCTGAGTAACGCAGGATTGAGGAGACCTCCCGTATGAAACTGGATTTGGTCTGACCAGTTACCGAGCTCCCTCCCAGCCCTTGGAGCGCCGGCTCCGGCTGGAAAATTCCTTGCCGGAGAAATGGCATGATCGTGATGGGTCACAGGAGGGGTTTGGCAGTTATGGCCCAAAACAGCCTTCGGGAACCTTCTTCAGCTCTGCTGGTGAGACAGGAGGGGCTTCAAGAAGCTCATCAGACCTTTGGGTCACAGGAGGGGTTTGGCAGTTATGGCACAAAACAACCTTTTTCAGCTCTGCTGGTGAGACAAGAGGGGCTTCAAGAAGGTCATCAGACCTTGTACCCACCCAGTGGCAGCAGCTTCGATATCCCAAAAGGCAGAATGTGTGGGGGTGTTTGTACGCTCTCTAACCCGGGGGTGTCTTCTCAGTGGTGCCTGGTGACAGGTGAGGAGCTGGGGCAGATGTTCCTGAAGGAGGAGTCTGGGGTGGCACCGGTTTGAGTTGCCACCCTTGGCACGTGTCCCCAGGGGACCTCCCAGCCCCACAGCAGCTCCTTTCTTCCAGCGTGGGGAGTGAGAACGTGTAGGATTTGTAGCTGTTGGTGCTTGAATCCCCACCTTGATGCCTGCCCCGCTCCCCCCATGGCAGGTAGGTCACTACCCAGGGTGATGGGATGGCCCTTGCTGGTGTGAGTGCTCCCAGTCGTTAATTGCAGCCTAATTGGATTTCCCCCCTCCCTCAGTCCTCACTGGGGCTGCAATACCCACATTTGTGGGGTTGGAACGAGATGATCTTTAAGGTCCCTTCCAACCCAAACCATTCTGTGATTCTATGACTTAGATTATTGCTGCTAATTAGCCAAGAGGGGGACAGTGTCCGAGCGCTTCCCAGGGCTGGAAGGAGAACACTTTGGAAGCAGAAGGGTGTTGGGAGGGAAGACGCGTAGGATTCTGCCTCTGGGAGGTCCCTGCTGGGGAGGGTGTGGGGTGAACTGTTGCAATAATTTGTTTTTTATCTGTTGCTCTGATTTTAAAAGATGTTTTGCTGCGAAATGTTCAAAGCTTGTGAATGGAATTGCTGATTTAATGCTTCCAAAAGGCATTTTCTCCATTGGTTTATTAGAATCAGTTAATAGGACCTTTGGTACTTGTGAAGTTTATCTCAACGTATGATGAGTGATTCTGCAGTTCAGCTGTGACTGATGTTTCTCCAGCTCGGTTTTGGTGTTAATTACCTTATTTCTTCACATAAAACCTTCTAAAGTAGATGAGGGCCCCAAAGGTGCTGGGAGGGCTGGAGCCCCTCTGCTGGGAGGACAGGCTGAGAGAGTTGGGGGGGTTCAGCCTGGAGAAGAGAAGGCTCCGGGGAGACCTTGGAGCCCCTTCCAGTCCCTCAAGGGGCTCCAGGAGAGATGGGGAGGGACTCTGGATCAGGGAGGGGAGCCATAGGATGAGGGGGAAGGGTTTGACACTGGAAGAGGGGAGATGGAGATGAGATCTGGTGAAGAAATTGTTTGGTGTGAGGGTGGTGAGAGCCTGGCCCAGGTTGGCCAGAGAAGCTGTGGCTGCCCCATCCCTGGAGGGGTTGAAGGGCAGGTTGGAGGGGGCTTGGAGCAACCTGGTCTGGTGGGAGGTGTCCCTGCCCGTGGTGAGATGATCTTTAAGGTCCCTTCCCACCCAAACCATTCCATGACTCCATGATGATTGTTAGAAATCTGGTCGATGACGGCGCGAGGCCGGTTCTGAAGAAAACACCTAAAAAAGCCGTGTCCGGACTTGCAGACCATCATTTTTTTTTCTCTCCCAAACCAGATACGACCACATCCTGAAGTGGGAGCTCTTCCAGCTGGCGGACCTGGACACCTACCAGGGGATGCTGAAGCTGCTCTTCATGAAGGAACTGGAACGGATCGTGAAGCTGTACGAGGCCTACAGGCAGGCCCTGCTCACCGAGCTGGAGCACCGCAAGCAGCGGCAGCAGTGGTACGCCCAGCAGCACGGCAAGAACTTCTGAGCTCCCAACTCTTGAACAGACATTTTACAAGAACACTAAAGAGCTTTAAAAAAGGTTGGGTGTTTTGGTTTTTTTTCCACACTTCAAAAAAAAAACAAACACTAAAAACACTATGAAAAAGTGCTTTTTGTTGAAAAGGCAGCTTATTTTTGTTGACGTTGCACCTTTGTTATTATCCTCTTGAGTATTTTTCTACATGTATTATGTATTGTTTATAAAAAAAAAATGAAAAAAATGTTTGTTAATCTTTTTTCTAGTTTATTATTCTGAGAACCAGCACGGAGTTTAATCAGAGCCTTGATTCTGGTCTCTTTTTCTAGCCATCAGCTGCATTAGTAAGAAGCCGACTATATATATATTTTTTAAAAGGGCAATAGATGCAACTGTATGAAATGTCCTGGATTCAAACCATTTGTGAAAATCCAAATGAATTATTTGGGTGTCATTACCCCGGGGACACCCAGTCCCTCTCTCGGGAGCCGTCTGCTCTTTGTTTACAGCTTTAATGTACAGATTCCGGTCCCTTCCCATCATTCCCAGTGCTGGGACCGGATTTCACCAGTTTAAACCCAGCCCTTTGGGAAAGAGAAGCCCCAGTTGCCTTATTTCTTACTCTAACGTGTTACTGCTTTAGTTTTACTACTCTTTTTTCGCAGAAATCACTCAGAGGGGAAACATTTCTACCTTTTTCGAGCCCCAAGGTCTCTAACTTCCCAGGTTCATCAGGTGTCCCCTGTTGGGCTGTCCCCTGGACCTTCAGGGATCTCACAACAACTGCTTTGGGGTTGGTTTTTTTTTTTTAAACAATGAGCTTTGGGCTTCTATTAAAGCTTCCTCACTTGGAGAAAATTTTTAATTGTACAGTTCTTCTCTCCGATATTTTTGGGTTCATTGATTGTCCTGAAATGTTATTTATGGATTCTTTTTAGTGCAATAAACATTGTTGCAGACAAAAAAAAAAACACATTTCTTGTAAATCCTATTATTAATTCAATAAAAATCCTTTTGTTTAATGAATGAAGGCTTGTCTGAGTGATTTATCTTTTTAGAGTGTTAAATAAAATATTCTTAGAACCAATGAAAAGGTCTGACGGGGGGTGGGGGGGGTGAAAATCAGTGTTTTCAGAATATCCACCTGCAAGGAAAGCACCGATTCCTGACGGATGGAAAACAAAAAACCAAAACCCAAGTGGAGGATGGTTAATAATGGATTCCTGGATTAACTGACTCCTCAAGAACTGACAGGGAACTTTAATAGTTGTGAGGGTAAAAGAACAGAAGGGGTGTCTGTACAGAACCACGGCCACGCTCCCCCCGACACACAGACCAGTGACACCCGCTGCCTCCAGCACCAACACAGAAGGACCCTTTCCCATCAGCGCCCTTCTCCCCTGCCCGTGAAGCAAGTTAATACATTTTTAATTGATATTTATGGAATTAAATAGATAATCGAAGAAAAAAAAAAAAAAAAAACACAACTCGGTTACACACTTATAACTTGTTCTTTTATCTGAAAAGAAGTTGGGGTTTGAATAGCGCTAAGGGCTGGAAGATTTTTAGTTGCGGTATCGTACGTAAATTAAGATTTTCTTCAGTGAATTCGTAACTAATTAAGAAGAGAAACATAAGGCTTCATAAACGAGCTGGGAAGGTGCCGGCTGGAAGAAATTAAAAGCACTTTGTCGTGGCAGCAGAACCGATATGTACATATTAACAGGAGGAAAACCCTGCCCACCTCGTCCCGGCGGGACCCGCTCTCCCCGTGCGGCGGCAGGAGCTGGGGGTGGGTGCGAGGAGGAGGGTGGAAGCCAGGGGGTGGGAACTGGGGGGGCTCCTGCGTGGCCGGGGGGGGGTCGCACCCACCTTACACCTTCTTCCTCTCGGCGCCCTGGGGGGGCTCCGGGCTCTGGGTGGGGAAGGCGTGATGGTAGAGGTGTCTGTGGGTGGCCGCCGCGCTGTACAGCTTGTACAAAGCCTGGGGACAAACAGAGAGAGAGAGAGAAGGTGGTGACGTCCCCGGCCCCGCTGCGGTGACACCCAGGGGCTGTGTCACCCGGGGGCTGTGTCACCCGGGCTTCCAACCAGCGGGCACCCAGTGTCCAACGGGGAAAAGAATAAAGATCAACTCATTTTCCAGCTCTGGGAGGAGCCCCCTCCCATCACCTTACATGGAGGACCACCTGGAGGACTTACAGGTTGGGGTTTTTTTTTT